CCTCCTCCGTATCCGCCTCCTCCTCCTCCTCCTCCTCCTCCTCTTCCTCCTCCTCCTCCTCCTGTCTCCTCCTCCTGCTGCTCCTCTGCATCATCAGCATCAACATCCTCGTCTTATGGATGCTAGCAATATAGGTATTAGTATTAGTAGTCGCAGCATGTGTCTTCTTGTCATTCGTAGTTCGGTTATTACGAATGGTATGCGTGTTCGTAATACGCGTCGCCGTGTGTGTCGTATTAGCCGTCGTGGTACGAGTAACCTTCGTATGTGCAATAATAATGCTGCTCGCATGTGTACTAACATCCGTGTTAGTAGTATCAGTCGTGAGAATATTAGTCGCATGTGTCGTAATCACAGTAGTCGTCATGGTGTTAGTGATATGAGTGGTCGTGTTCGCCCGCGTGGTCGTCTCAGTATTCGTAGTACTAGTGTTGCTAATATTCGTACTCGCCGTCGGCGAATTATTATTCCGATTAGTAGTATTCTTCGCCGTGTTAGTAGTATTATTCGCCGTTCCCACATGATGATAATATTATTAGCATTAGTAGTACGATTGGTAGTCGGATTCGTATTATTCTTACTCCTCATCATCATCCTCATGCTCATCCTCCTCTCCGTCTTCGTAGTAGTCTGAGCATGTTGCGTCTTATTCGCGTTCGCCGCAGTATTCCTAGTATCAATATTGATAGTGAGCTTAGTACTGTCAAGATTCGTCTGTTTGATCGTCTTGTCATTCGCATTCGTAGTATTGTTCGTATTGTTCGTACGTCGTAGTATCAGCGTTCGTCGTATCATTATTGTTATGGGTAGTCGTCATGTCATGCGTCTTGTTCCCATTACTCGTATATGCAATAGTCTATCAGTCGCATTCGTATTAGTATGATTAATGTTCGTCTTCGCCTTCCTCTTATCAAGATTCGTACTATGCTTCGTCTTCTTAACACTATTACTATTATTCGCAATTTTCGTTTCATTATGATTAGCACTGTCAATATTACTACTCCAGCTCATCCTCCTCCTCCTCCTGCTCCTCCTCCTCCTGCCCATCCCACAACCCCCACGGGCCGTTGGAATACGCCACGTCCCCTGGGTGCTTCAGCGGCAAGTCGAACAGCGTCCGAGTCGCCTGGCGGGCCGTGAGGTGGAAGATGCGGAGGAGGTCGCTGGTCACCACGGCCACCTCCGCGCCCCCGGGGATCGCGGATGGAGGATCGAGGAGAATCGAGGAGAATCGAGGAGGATCGAGGAGGATCGAGGATCGAGGAGGATGGAAGGCCGAGGCTGTGAAAGATCTCTGGCCTCGGCCCCCCACCACCTGCCTCGTCCTGCCAGCCCTGGCTTCCCGCCTGCGCGATCGCCGGCGTCTGCCCGACTGCCTCTCCGAAAGGGGCCCTGGAACACACAAATAAAGAGACACAAATCCCAATGTTCCCAATATGTTCCCGTATTTTCTGGGTTTTCATCTTCCCCCTCCTACTTCCCATATGTTCCTGGGAGTCGAAGATTAATCGTGTCTGTGTGTTTGTTCCCCTCCTGATCTCCCCCCTCTCCCCCCTCTCATGTAGGGCCCTCCTGGATGGGGTCCGAGTAGATAGGGGTCGGAGGATCGCGCCACATCCCCACTTCATCGCCAGTGCATCGGCGATGCATCGGCTCTACATCGGCGACGTCGGCGATGCATTGGCGCCGTCTGCGTGGAGATAATCTGGCTCCAGATCGAGACGCATCGCCGATGCATCGGCGATGCGGAGCGATCCTTCGACCCCATCCACTCGGACCCCATTTATGAGGCCTAGATCACAAGGGGTACCAAAACGGTGCGGTGACAGACCGTGCGCGGCGGCCTCGAAACCACAGGCGGGAAGAGTCTGTCACTGCACCGTTCTCGGACCTGGAAAGCCCCAGTCGCCTGAGGCACCCCCGAAGAACGAGCCATGCTCCCAAAAGCGTGCGGCCACCCCGCATCCCCACGGACTCACCCGACTGTGATCAGCATGAAGGTAGCAGGTCCTGAAGG